ACGGCTAACTCACAGATCAAACCCTGAAACAACTTCTGGGCTGATCTAAGTCAGGGCACGGCTAACTCACAGATCAAACCCTGAAACAACTTCTGCTGGGCTGATCTAAGTCAGGGCACGGCTAACTCACAGATCAAACCCTGAAACAACCTCTGGGCTGATCTAAGTCAGGGCATGGCTAACTCACAGATTGAATCCTGAAACAACCTCTGGGCTGATCTAAGTCAGGGCATGGCTAACTAACAGATTGAACCCTGAAACAACCTCTGGGCTGATCTAAGTCTAAGTCAGGGCATGGCTAACTCACAGGTCAAATTGGAATTTATCTTGTTAGGTTTTGCAGGGGGAAGATACCCAGGGAATGCAGGGAAAAAATGTGAAAAGCATTATAACCAATTGGACTAGGTTGGTTCTATGAAACTTTGTTCACAAGGTATTGATTATTTTATATCTTAGATGTTTCATGACCTGGCCATCTACATACCAATAACTTGACCTCAAAGAATGCCTGGTCATTCTTGGGTGTACTTGCAGGAGGCGTCATAGCGGTATGATGATCAACACCAATGTGCTGTCCTGGCAACATACAGGACTCCAAGGAAACATAGTGGTCAGGTGTCTCATGGATGTAAAAATGGCAGTAGGTGTCAAATGTCTAGACATRAAGGAAAGATTGCAAAGGGAACATTTCRTAAGAAGAATGGAGGTTATGTACGAGTGGYCAATCTGTACTAGTTTTTGYAATSGTGAGCTGGGGTCAAAAGGCCATACAGGTCAGATGTTAATATTGTTAAATTATACATTTTTACTCAGAATGAATATATGTACACCTTATTCCAAAACAGTTGTCATCGCTAAAAGCCATAGGCGATAGGTCATTCCGACATGGAAATGGTTTCGTCGACCACAAACAACATTGAATCAATCTCAACCCATGTTCTTGACTAGAATAAGAAGCAGAAACAATAGTCATTCCACTTAGTCTTTGATCTTAGAAAGACCTATCCTATTGCTTTTCACCTATCGCCTATTGCCTATTACCTTTGGCCATGACRACGTTCTATGAAATAGGAGTATTATTGTACTAGGATATTTTTACAGTAACCTAAAATCTTTGAGATTTATATGATTCATGTTTGACAGAGAAAATCCATGTTGAAGTTGAATTTTAACGAGATTTGCAAACGTTTTTTTATCACTCTCCCTAATATTTCTATTGAATTTTTCGTCATTAATCATTAGTGATTTGATGAGCTTCTTTATGGATCCACCCAAATATAAGAACTAAAAAGGAATACCTTTCCCATCAATCTGCCATTGTCAATACCCAAGAAGAACTGAGGATATGCAATACTGTTCAAAGCTACCACATTTCCTCCCATATTGATCACTCTGAATTGAGCTGTAACAAAGAAAAAAGAACTCTTCAATTTTGTACAGGGACGGCGGAACTGGAGCAGCTGGGGGGGCTTTAGCCCCCCCACTTTTTGTGAAATTTTAA